ACAACAACTTCAGTATATACAGAGACTAAGGGACATCAACTTTAGTATCGGGAGAAACTCGGCTACAACAAATATACAGTGGGCAGAGACTAAGGGACAACAACTTCAGTATATACAGAGACTAAGGGACATCAACTTTAGTAACGGGAGAAACTCGGCTACAACAACTATACAGTGGGCAGAGACGAAGGGACACAACTTTAGTATGGGCAGAGACTGATTGATTGATTGATAGGTTTTACGTCCGCTTCACTACCGAGTAGGTCGGTTATCCAGCAGACGAAACTGGGCAGAGACTAAGGAACACGAACTTAAGTATGGGCAGAGAGTAAGGGGCAACAACTATAAATTGGACAGAGACAAGGGGGCAATACATTTATTAAAGGCAGCGACTAGATGGCAACAACTTTGTTATGAACGGAGACTAAGGGACACCAACCTAGTATGGACAGAGACCAAGGGACACCAACTTAGTATGGGCAGAAACTAAGAGACACCAACTTAATATGGACAGAGACTAAGGGACACCAACTTTAGCATGGACAGAGACTAAGTGACACCAACTAAGTATGGACAGAGACCAAGGGAAACCAACTTAGTTTGGACAGAGACCAAAGGACACCAACCTAGTTTGAACAGAGACCAAGGGACATCAACTTCAGTATTGCCGGAGACTAAGAGACTCCAACTTAGTATGGACAGAGACTAAGGGATACCAACTTTAGTATGGGCAGAGACTAAGGGACATCAACTTCAGTAAATACAGAGAATAAGGGACATCAACTTTAGTATGGGCGGAGACTAAGGAACACCAATTTTAGCTACGGGAGAAACTCGGCTACAACAACTATACAGTGGGCAGAGACTAGGGGACAACAACTTCAGTATATACAGAGACTAAGGGACATCAACTTTAGTATCGGGAGAAACTAGGCTACAACAACTATACAGTGGGCAGAGACTAAGGGACAACAACTTCAGTATATACACAGACTAAGGGACATCAACTTTAGTATCGGGAGAAACTCGGCTACAACAACTATACAGTGGGCAGAGACGAAGGGACACAACTTTAGTATGGGCAGAGACTGATTGATTGATTGATTGATTGATAGGTTTTACGTCCGCTTCACTACCGAGTAGTTCGGTTATCCAGCAGACGAAACTGGGCAGAGACTAAGGAACACGAACTTAGGTATGGGCAGAGACTAAGGGGCAACAACTATAAATTGGACAGAGACAAGGGGGCAATACATTTATTATAGGCAGCGACTAGATGGCAACAACTTTGTTATGAACGGAGACTAAGGGACACCAACCTAGTATGGACAGAGACCAAGGGACACCAACTTAGTATGGGCAGAAACTAAGGGACACCAACTTAATATGGACAGAGACTTAGGGACACCAACTTTAGCATGGACAGAGACTAAGTGACACCAACTAAGTATGGACAGAGACCAAGGGAAACCAACTTAGTTTGGACAGAGACCAAAGGACACCAACCTAGTTTGAACAGAGACCAAGGGACACCAACTTCAGTATTGCCGGAGACTAAGAGACTCCAACTTAGTATGGACAGAGACTAAGGGACACCAACTTTAGTATGGGAAGGGTCTAGGGGGCACCAACTTTATTATGAACAGAGACTAGGGGACACCATCTAAGTATGGACAGAGACCAAGGGACACCAACTTAGTTTGGACAGAGACCAAGGGACACCAACTTAGTTTGGACAGAGACCAAGGGACACCAACTTCAGTATTGCCTGAGACTAAGAGACACCAACTTAGTATGGACAGAGACTAAGGGACAGCAACTTAGTATGGACAGAGACTAAGAGACACCAACTTCAGTATTGCCAGAGACTAAGAGACACCAACTTAGTATGGACAGAGACTAAGGGACACCAACTTAGTATGGACAGAGACTAAGGGACAGCAACTTAGTATGGACAGAGACGAAGGGACAACAACTAAGTATGGGAAGAGCCTAAGGGACATCAACTTAGTATGGGCAGATACTAGGGGCACCAACTTTATTATGAGCAGAGTCTAGGGGCAACAACTTTATTATGGACAGAGACTGAGGGACATCAACTTTAGCATGGGCAGAGACTAAAGGGCACCAACCAACTTTAGTATGGGCAGAGACTAAGGAGCACAAACTAATTGGGGTCAGAGAATAAGGGGCAATAACTATAGTTTGTACATAACTAGTGTACAACATATTTAGCATGGGCAGCAACTAGGGTACAACAACTTTAGCATGGATAGAAACTAGGCTACAACTTTAGCATTGGCAGAACGTAGGGTAAAACAACTATAACATGGACACAAACTCGGGCACAGCATCTTTAGCATGGACAGACACTAGGGTACAACAGCTATAGCATAGGCAGAAACTAGGGTACAACAACTATAGCATAGGCAGAAACTAGGGTACCACAACTACAGAAGGGTAAAACAACCATATCATGAATATAAACTATCGGTCGGCGGACATGGTTTGTGAATATAGTAAAACATGTGTTCAAATATAGATGTTAAAGCAACGAGGCACACAATTTTCTTCCTCTGTTCCCTATATATCATATAAGATTGGATCTACCCCGCCGTATTTCCTTTTCCCGCCCACTCCAGTTCCGCGTTGGATTGAACATACTATATTTATTCCGTAGTCTATTTTAATCGTACACACACAATGGAGGTGTGCATTAGACCCAAGAGATTGACGTCTACCCTATCACACGAATCGAGGGGAATTCCCCGTCGACCCGATAGAAGCAATGAATCACCTTTGACCACTAGCAATCGTGTGAAAGTAGTGTAATTATATACCTTTGTGCCCACCTGGTAAAACATTATTGACGTAAATCATCAATGAATATTATATTTCTTAAAGTTACGAAGGAAGGTAATTTATCAACTGTAGTGTTTTGTATTGCACGCTATAATTTATCAATGTATATCATATAACTCGTAACAACGAGAGGGGAACCTATTACTAGGAGTTGACGTTTCTATAATTATCTAAGCCATGCACATTGCATGTAATATCGTTAAACACGAATTGTTTCTAAGGAAATCAATTTAATCAATTAAGTATGTTATGGGTTGAATTCATGGGACAAATAAACGCGTTTAGTGAGTGAGCTTCTATTTTGTTGTCTCGTTTACCTGTAAGGACACCTATTATACACATACTGCAATAGACACTTAGTGTATCAACAAGGTATAACACTTTTCACAATTAGATGTACATTATTGATTATGTATGTCTGTTGCGTTGATCGTAGATAACACAGCTTGGTATGAAGATGCAGTTATTCACAATTTTATCAATATCTTCACTATGGTACACAATCCAAAGATACTTTTCATCTTTATTAATAACTTTCAACTCCCACCCAGTCGAAAGTTTAGGCTTTACAATCGGTATAAAATTAATTTCATGTTAACTATGTTCCTTTGTATCATATTTATGTCTTGAAAAAGGCGGTTTGGTTTGAAAATTTGACACATCTAATTGTCCGCATTGTCGCCATTTTTCTTCATTGCATATATGTATATACATTTCATTTCATTTCAAATCAATTTTATTGTATTCAAAAAACACAATTGGATTAGGCACAGGCATTGCCTATAAAAGCCCTTTCCAGAGAAAATACACACATTTCATACATTCATATATACATATATATATATATAGAGAGAGTATTATAGAGAAGATGTAGTATATGTTCGAATTAGTAGGAGAATACTAGAACCATTTAATACATGTTCACAGAAAATAATACATGTAACTAGAATACTAGATTTTACCATTACAATTAATATAGTCTATTTACTTCAATTATTAATAGCCTAGTGTTTGGTTGGAGGCACTTCAAAGACACTGTCACTATACACAGTGCCATCCTTCCCAATTACACCAGAGTTATTGTTATAACATAGCAAATACAAACACATTGTAATATAATTTTTAGTATAGTTTTAGTTAAAATCTTCCAGATTTGTCAATAAACTCCAGAACACATGAGAGAATACATTTATTTGATTCACTGCTAAGGTTCATATCACCCTTAGTGAAAGTAACAGTATTTAAGATGATGTTGTCAATTTCGTTGTAATTAGATAACGCATTGAATAAAACTTGTCTTTCATCTATATATTTGCATCTTCAATAATATAACCACAGTCACACTTAGGGTTATCTGTAAGATGATCATTATATAAATCTGATTTTAATTGACTGACTTTATTCCGTAGTTGACATAATGTTATATTCAACTTCCTGGAGCCACCGTATTTAAAAATGTATATACATATATCTATTGTCTATATTGGAAATATTGTCGACATTTCTTATCATAACTAGTAAGCATTATACATACAAATGTCAACATATTAAATGACAGTGCAGACAAAGGAATTTGTCAAATTATCAGGGCAATCCGCCCCTTTTTTCGAGTGAGAAACATGAACACTTACATATCACAACGTATTACAAAAATAAGTAGTCACTATGACACAATACAACAACATCAAGTTAACAAAGAAACAAAACAGTCATCTGCTGTTGTGATCATATGTCATATGCATGTCCCCTCGGTAAGCCTGTAACAGAAGGCTGATTTCAAGTGGATTAATAGAACAAGTCTGAATAAATATTCATGAATATGTAGATATGGCTGAACTGCCTTGTTAATCTGACGAGTGTTTGATTGAGACTGTATGAGTGGTATGGTGCAGTATAACATGAAGTACGTTACATAAAAGAACCAAGGAATACGATTGAACTATAAGAGAAAGCAGATTGAATTACGATATAGCTTCAGTCGACGAATCTCGTATTGCGGTGGTAAGCTGCAGCCGCAATATCCGGGTTAGCACTGTACGGTGTGTAACTTTCGTCGTTCCCAATAACATTCCTTCGTATAGCCGAAGCATAAAGAGGTTAAGGTCAACGGCACGTCACCAAAAACCTCTGTTACTAAAAATACATTTCTGGAAACCAGCGAGCGTAGGTATTAAACGTTTGGCGCGGTGTGTGAAGATTCAGTTGCTAGAATAAGTCGCAGTGTTAACACGTTCGTACTTTAACAAAACGACACAATGGAAGGTAGTGGTCAGTTTATCGTAGATGGACAGCACGTTGCAGCAGAATTTACATCTGATCATTTAATCTGGACTGACACAAGTAGCAAAAAAGAAGGTAATTTTTATTTTGAAAGTTACATATCTTTATTTCTTTTTCCCTCGACTATTTTCTCCTCTCTCTCTATTCTCTCTCTCTCTTTATTTTTATGTACAAATATAACATGCACTAAAAACTAAGATCCCCCCTCTTTGACAATCTTTAAATGCATTTTAATACACGGTTACATTCTTATTCTACATGAAAGTTGAATGAAAACATCAAAATAATTTCTCAAATTAATTATTGCTATAGGATGTATGTAAATAGTTCCGTACCTATGACTTTTTGTACGCTTGTAATATCCCACAAAATTTGTGGTTAATGTCTTTCTCATATCATTTTACATGCGCTGTGCCCTAGTGCTAAGTTTACCTTTCTTTATGTAACATTGTAATGAAGCATAAAACAATACACACACTATATATATATAAAACAATTTTTCATTTGAAATTAATCCTATTTTTTCCAGTTTGGGTGGAGACAGACAACATCATATGCTGTACGACAACAACCGAAGAAACGGGGTTTGAGGTGGTCTACGCCGCAAAGTCTAAGAAAAATGATTCTAAACTAAGGGAAGGAAGGATTGTTTTCTCTGGTCCAGCTGACAAGGTTCGGATATTTTCCAGGATTATCCAGGGATATCTTGCAGGTAAGACGGCATGAACATCAGTACTTCTAATCAACCTTTCGGTTGCTGATCTTTGAGCGAGAATGTTTCAAAAGGACAAGATAAAGATTGATTAAACATTCATATCCAAATGTGTCTGTGTAATGTAAATGTATAAAATGAAACATGAAAGCGGTGATGTTCCTTCATCTCGTGAATAAATTATACAAACCAAACTGAAAACATTACTTGTTTCTATTTATAGGACAGTGGCTAAAACGAAACCATACATCGTTTACACACATTTATCCTTACATTTATCCCTGTACACACAAACGCAAGCACGCACACACAACATACATGGAGGTATACGTCTTTAAATGACCTTAGATGTGGATAGGACGTTAAACAAAATAAAACCAAATAAAACCATATCTTACATAATTACTTATTTGTGTGTGTTCCATACTAATATTTAGTCTTTGTCCTCCAGAAAACAAGCGGCCTCGGAGATTGTTAATCCTGATAAACCCAGAGAGTGGGAAAAAGCGTGGTTACAAAGACTACGTGAACAAGGTTCAGCCTATCTTAGAGCGATGCGGGATACAGGCCGAAGCTGTAGGTGAGTAAATACCCCTCTGTCTCAGGAAACTTATTAAAACGCTATACAAACGTATTCATTCTGAGATGTGCCACAATCAAACAAATGTTAACTTATCTGTATTTAGTCCAACATGATCAAAAAATATATATATTGAATTCGGGAATATTGATTGCCGAATAAAACGTATAAATGGCTACTGAAATATGTAATTATTTTTATTTGCTATAACCGTAGTTTCGTTGAACGTGAATAAGGTCTATACTGTACACTACGAATATGTGTTAAGGCATTGAGGAGGCCAACATGTAGGATCACTAATGTGTTATGTAGAGGTTAGTGTTATCGCACACGATCGGATGGACAAATGGTCTGTCCGCTCGGACATGCCCGTATCGTGATAACAAGATGCTAATGACGTGCTATGTTGGTGTTTCAGTAACGACTGGGAAAGGCCAGCCGACAGAGATTCTCGGGGACTACGACCTTGATAGTATTGACGGGTAAGTCAATTACTCAATATATATATCAATCGATATTTCATTGTGTTACACATGGTATCATACGTAACAAATACGTACAGAAATAAATATACATTTTAACGAATTATTACTGACAAACATACACACAATAAGCGAACACCAACCCCTTAGTAGACGGGTATATAAAACGCTGCTAACTGTAAACAGTGGTGTAGACCTCGACGCATATCTGCTTTACTGTAGCCACAGGTAGGGCATACGAGCAGACGACACATTGAAATGATTGCCCTTGATTCGACCTGAATACCTGAACAAGTCTCAGATGACTTATTACAACATTAAACCCACTCACTAAAATATTGTTTTAACAATGTTCTTTAAGGAGGGTCCATCCTCCCCTGAAATCGTTGACATACATGTGTGTAGAAGGGCGATTTTTCTGAAATTCAGACATATTTTCCTTACTGAACACTGTATAAAAATATGAACTGTTACTTGTATTTCTCTTTGTTAAAAAAGCTTTTACCGTTTTTATTTATTTCTTCAGATTGGTGGCAATGGGTGGAGACGGGTTCTACTGTGAATGTCTGAACGGATTGATTGTCAGGAGGCAGACAGACGCTGGGGTTGACTTCAATGACAGCACCGCAGAGTTGAGTGCTCCTACTATTCCAATCGGGATTCTCCCGGCAGGTACGTCACACTTTGTATACAAAACAGAAGAATTCCATGACAAAATCTTTCTAAAAAATGCGTTGGTTATTATGTGTGCCATATTTGATGTAGATGAACTCTTATGAAGTGTCTTCTTTCACCGATGTTTTTTTGTGGGGTTCGTGATGCATTTCCTTTTGTTTTGGTCCATTAAGGTTTTCTTTTCCATCTCAACTATGAATCCGGCTTTAATCCACGCTTGTTATGAAACTCTTGTAAATATTTTGTAATTTACATTTTACTCGTATTCTTCAATGTCTTGAGCGTAAACCACAAACACAAGTGATACTCATATTCCAGTAAAGCTATTTGTTTATTGACAAATGTATTTGGTCAATGTGAAATACAAATCCATCGCCTTCGCTTCCTTTTAACCCACACGACGATAATGTCGTATTACAAAATCTCAAGATGTCAGCTTTGTTGCTGAAAATAAATACTACTGAAGTGTATACACGGTGTGTACCTTAATTGAGTTTATGTTTGGTGTGCTTACTCCAGTGAGGTTTGTAATTTGTATTGCGTAATATATCTCTTCTCCTTTTCTACGTATTTTCAGTATAATTTTGTATATGTTGTTAAAAATAAATATCGCTTTACCTTATACTCTAGCTACTTGCAGTGTCAAGATTGAATTTAACATGTTACTAGCGCATTCAACTATGCTATACCACCAAGTCCGTTCCCCTATGTATGCACCTTCCTTGCATGTGTATCAAAATAACACAACTTTTCTCAATTCCAGGAACTGGGGATTATGTGGTACAGTACTTACATGGAACCAGATGTCTTGTCACGGCAGTCCTGAGGATTCTAATGGGCAAATCGGTTAACACGAATTCGGCGAGTATTCACGAAGATAATCGATGTTTGGCTCATTCCGGCCTCGTTCTGGGGTTCGGTCTGTTCGGAGACATGATGCACAACTGCGAGAAGTACCGCTGGATGGGGTCCAATAGATACAACAGTACGTTTATATGCTCTTTAGTAAAAAAAAAATCGAACACAGTTATTTGTTAAATCTGTAAAATAAACTTTGATAACAAGATGAGATTTTCTACTTTAACTGGTTAAAGTGTTTCTATTTTGTTTATGTTTGAAATAGATTATGAAAGACTATGACAAGAAGGTAATATGTGGAAAGGCATTCAATACCGGACCTTTATCAACAATCATATGTAATCATTCCTTTTGGACTTGTTTCAATATTATTTAACATTTCTGTTACAGTTGTCCCCATTGCCTCTCTTCTCAGAAGAAGAACAGTGGACGTTGAAATTGAGTATCTTCCCGCCAAGTCTTCAGCCTCGACATCAAGTCCTTCGTCACGAGATTTCAAGCGTCAAATTTCATTACCAGTTGGAAATTACAAAGTGTCGATGGCGCCTCGCCTTCGAAGACAATCGTCCGTACCAGATATTCTAATAAACATAACTAATGGTAAGCCAGCACTATATCAGAACTTATTGATATAATTTTAAAACCCTAACATATTTTTCGCGGTAACATTACTCGGTAATTTGGAAAACAGTTTCCGGTATCCGGAATTTGTGTGCATTACCTCTGTATTCATTGTTTATATCAAAATTCAAAACTAATCACTTGAAAATACAAGTTATAGTCAGGTTTTATATACTTTAGTTTATTATGCCAAAGAAAAATATATATTGAAAAGTGATTTTGAAAGTAGATATATAACAGTTTCGTTTGTTTTCATAGGATGGCAGAAGACGACCGGTCGCGTTTACGCTGTAGATACTCATCCTATCGTCATGGCAGCCAAAGATGGACGCATGCGCCCTTGCTTCGGTGCTGAAAATTTAACAATGACTGTCACGGACAAGTGCAGCTTATCTAAGCACGTGCAGCAGCTTTCATTGGTCAACGACGAAAAGCCAGACTGTGTAAGTATATAATTGGTGTATTGGTAAAATCAAAATGTAAAATGTTAATCATTTTTGAAAACAAAATGTCAAATTTATGCTCTCATTCTTGGATTGAGTCTGCTATTTTACTAGACGTGATAACATGTATCTTATTCTATACATTCTTTTCTTTACAGTACAACTTTGATTTCGTCCGTCAGATGAATGTTGATGCCTTCAAAGTTCGTCTGTCCTCCAGCACGCCTCTTCGAATAACCAAAACAGGAAGAAAAGAATTAGATAAGAATTTCTTCATCAATTGTGACGGCGAGGCGATCCGGCTAACCACTCCACAGTTTGAAGTTAGGTAAGTACACAGTCCGGTAAGATTATCGAGTGAAATATGTTGTAACTCAGAACTTTAAAAATTTTGATTTCGAGTCCTATACATGTAACAAGAAAAAAATATCGACATTGATAATATTTACTTTCTCTAATCGTAAATCGTTAGCACACATCAAACAAATAATTTCATAAATCTGGTTTAAAATTTCATTAGAATTAACCATTTTTGAGGTTTTCATGTTAGTTTTTCACACATTATTATACTTCTCTTTAATGTTGTGCTTTCAGGTTCCATAGAAACATTGTGAGCCTTTTCGGAACACCTTCAACATGAATGACCAACAGACCTGGGTGAACAACCTTTGGAAAGTTGGAAACAAGTGCCTTGTCACTTATCTTGGATGCCATTAGCGTCCGGTTCTACCTTCTTGTCGGTCACTGGTTGCGGCCTGAGGAAGAAACCGTACTATCCGGACCAATGAACAATGGCTACATCGAAAGACACGATGTATACGTCAGAAAGGTCATAGGCAATTTCTGGTCAAGCGGCTTTCGAGACAAGCTTGCATTGCGTTAGCAGTTAGCAATCAAAACACATATACAAGTATTACGATTAAAGGTGCCTGGATAAGCATGTTAAACGTGCTATCCGGGTGTACGTCGTGCACCTACCCGTATTGGCATTATTTATGTAATGAGTTTTCGTTGTTGATTTTATTAAAATATTAAAAAATTGACATTCATTGTCTGTTCATTTTTCTATGGGATTTGAANGGGGGCTTATGCTGTATTATCTTCATTTTTGATATCTCTTTTGCTTTTGTTCCTGAGAGAGACATTATTGTCTGGAAAAGGGTTGTGGAATTCTCCCGTTGGAATAGTCAAACTCAATTTTGTACTGTTTTTATTATAACAGTTACACAGTAACTAAAAAAATAATACATCGCTGGTCTTTCAAATAATAATCCGTTTGTAAATTAATTTACAAAACGGGATCGGACAAGATAATTATAAAAGATAAGCAAGATGAATAAAACTATAAACCCCTGTTTGTACTTTTAAGATATTAAATATGTGACCTATATAGGCTCGATATCTGACAACACATCTCCAAATTAACATGAAAACCGCAGCCACTACAGGAAACATTGATATCAACGCCTCCCATCTTTTAAAATTGCATACACTGAAGCAACAGGTGCGTGCAATGATTATTACCTCATTCACCCCTGAAATTTCATAATGAACTATTCCAACCATTGAATTGAAAGAGTTCAAATGTGTCTTCAGGGGTGAATGACTTAATCCATGGTTATATTTTTGCTATATTAACTCATGAAGCTGATAACTGACTGACATTAACTTATTTCTGAGATGAAATTTGGTCTAACTTATTCCTTCCTTGATGAGATTATCTCTAAACATGTAATATATTTAGCCATTATATTTAGCCATTATGTAACTCCAATCAATATTATTGTATATATATAACATGAACAAATTTGTTATGTATACTACTGATAATAAAACTTGGACACATTACCCTCCATTTGAGATGCATTCCAGGTCCAGTTGTCCAACCCCCATTTGGTTAACAACTGCTTCACACACATATGTGTTATGACATGCTTTAAACAATGTCAATATTTAAAACTAAAACTGCATGTAAACTGATACAAAAATATCAATTGAAACAGAAAGAACAATAAATATTTGTAAACTTTTACTTTTAGATCTTTTCTTAAAATTAGCATTTCGGAAATAATTATGTATTATTAACTCGCGTAAGAATTAAGGCTTAGAACAACTCAGTCATAAGGTCCTAATGGTCGATGTTCGACGTCTAGCTAACTGTGAATTTACTTGAGAGAGAGAGAGAGAGAGAGAGAGAGAGAGAGAGAGAGAGAGAGAGAGAGAGAGAGAGAGAGAGAGAGAGAGAGAGAGAGAGAGAGAGAGAGAGAGAGAGAGAGAGAGAGAGAGAGAGAGAGAGAGAGAGAGAGAGAGAGAGAGAGAGAGAGAGAGAGAGAGAGAGAGAGAGAGAGAGAGAGAGAGAGAGAGAGAGAGAGAGAGAGATAATTGTCTGGAAAAGGGTTGTGGAATTCTTTCGTTGGAATAGTCAAACTCAATTTTGTACAATTTTTATTATAACAGTTACACAATAAAACCGACTGCGTGCGTGAGGATCCCACTAAGTTATTCACTAGATGCATTAAGTAAACACTACGCGATATCATGCTACTACCATTACTCTAGTAGTATGTCGGGTCTAGGCCGTAACACACTTAACATACATCAGGGGACAGGCCTCTGTTATGTCACTTAACTGACTTTCTGTGCTATCATATTCACCGAAACATTATAATTAGGATTGGCAAGCAACTGCCGACAGCAGTTCGGGGAATGTCTTTGTATTACCTAGAATGTAGACTAGCAGAATGAACCAATATCGCATTACAAAGATAACTAGGCACATTGATTGAGGTTTACCATGAATAAATCCAATACTGAGAAATTCGGAGCTGTACATCGATGCACAGAGACAGGAACATAAGAGATATCAAAAATAATTGAAATAAGCTGTTCATGAACGGCGTCCGACATAATGTCCTCCGCCAATCCAGAAAGTAGGTATGGCAACAACTATCATTGACATGCATGTAGTGATCAAATCTTTAATCATGCCATACTGACGTCAGTAAACATGTATTAAGCGTAGAATGGAAAATCTCTGGTAGGAAACCATGTCGTTTAGTAATCAAAATGTCATATCTGAAATGTTCTTAATGGTATTGAAATTTATATATATAATTATGGGATGTTACACTCTTCTGATACTAAAATTGTATCAACCAGTTTGAGTGTCCACCCTTTCGGTACCTAGCATCACCAATCTGACCAAGAAGGACGAAATGGCTGTATGGTATATACAAAACATACTGTAGAATATATTTACAGGGAGGCTGACATATTACTTCTGAGGAAATGAAACCTACTGAAATAAGTCACGTGTGTCACTGCCTTTGGACATTGATGTAAAGTTAACTGCTATACTGTAGTTAATGTCAAGATACTGTTGATAAATGTCAAGTTTGAAGCTGACGAAGAGAATTCAATGGTTTCTATATCCAAATTCTAATAGATAGATATATTTGCATGTTAAAATGATAAATAAAATAATTAATTGCATTTTCACCAGTGAAATATCAGGAACTTAGTGAAGATAAACGAAATGTTATACGTGTAACTTCACATGTGTAGATATCACTTTTAATATTGCCCAATCAGAACGGCACTTTCTATTCACTCCGAAGATTTTCAGTTCCAGTGTCAGATGAAGCGATGGCAGAATAAGTGGATGTGTTGGTACATCTTTACCACATACAGTATGGTATTGTCATAACTACGCAATTTATATCATTTTATTTGAAACTCTTATCAGATCGTCTATAGCAACATATAGAAGAATCGCATTTAGTTACCCATTCAAGATTGCGATCTGCCATATTGTCAAGCACGACGTCATTGAAACCTAACATCAAAGGCGTTATGGGTCATTTTTGGCCTCACAAAAAGTAAAAATTATATATATAAATTTCTGTTATAAACATCATATTGGATAATTGGGGCTTTCTTTCTTGGTGAAGAGTTTTCCTTGCGCATGCGTATATGCCCTACCCTAGCAACAAAACCGGTGTGCTATGCAGAATGACCACCAGTACGGCAATGTTTAGGCATGTCAAACACTTGTTTGTTTGTTGCATGCGGAGGATTTAGAAAATTGAAGAGAATTAAGTTAATTTCCTTCAAAATGGCCAATTTTCAACCAAATAAGATGATATTCACGCATTTTATTACGAAAATGCGGGTTTATGTCTCCCTTTGTAATGCCATATCTCCCAAACCAGTTGTCGAATTCCATTTATTCCAGATTACGAATATAACAACTTATTATAAATCCCTGATGAGGCCAGAAATTACCCTTAACGCCCCTTGTCCTGTGACGCTACTAATTCCCGCGTTTTTTATGTAGCAATATTTGCGCCGTGTTACTTTAAAAAATGTTATGAATAGAACATTAAATAATCGTCCTGTTGGATACCATGTGTGTTCCACTTGTATAGCAAAATAAACCGATCTATTTATTAATCAATTGTCTTAGAGTATGTATAATTTTGTGATGTACGCATGATATTTCAATGATTAATAACTGATTAGTCATTAAAAAGTTTCCTTTTTGTATCTGTATATTGCTTACTTGATAAACTCGGAACAGATGTATTTGGCTTACTGTGGGAGTGAGGGCTGTATTCTTGCGTGCATTGTCGTCAGTAACCGTCCATGTTAGTGATAAGCTACGAACAGGATGTAAAATGATCTCGGGTCAAACAATAAATCACAAGTGACACGGGTATATAATGTGGCCAAATACATGTACTAAAGACGTCTCGTTACCTGATACCAAAAACCCTACCACCACCTACACAGTTCCATTCAATACTTCCAAGGTCGATATAAATATTCAAGCCAATCAGTTTACTTTGTAAGGCCGTTGGGACATTCTAGTTTCTTGAAGCAAAATGTCAAAGAAATTAAACATTTTACTCTTCTATAAAAGGCTGATGTGACAAAGCAAATCTATGTAGTAACAATTAATAAACTTCCAATCTATGCACTCTTAAAAAACGCTTTGAATCTCCTGTATTGCCACTATGCAAATCTTCCAAAGTCGGCTGTGCTTTAAGAGACCATCACTCTGGAGTAGTGATTGTGACGTCATTACTAATGTGACGTCATAACCATTATGTAATACTACATGTAAGTATATCCGTAGTAAAGTTATAGCACGAACTGTGGTTATTGTAGCTATCCACATCGTTATTGTAACAATCGTTAATGCTGGTGTGTCCAGCACTGTCGTCATGGTACTGCAGCAACTTGATAATACTTGGTGACAAGTAACAAGTGGCATTGACAAGTAAAAACAACATAGTAGCAACCAGTAAGACAAATGTGGCCAACTATGTCGTTATGGTAACAACGAGTAAGGCTGGTGTGACCAACTATGTCGTTATGGTAAGAACTAGTAAGGCTGATATGACCAACTATGTCGTTATGGTAACGAATAGTAAGTCTGTTATGACCAACTATGTCGTTTTGGTAACAACTAGTAAGGCTGATGTGACCAACTATGTCGCTATGGTAACAACTAGTAAGGCTGATGTGACCAACTATGTCGTTATGGTAACAACTAGTAAGGCTGATGTACATGTGATCAACTATGTCGCTATGGTAACAATTAGTAAGGCTGATGTGACCAACTATGTCGTTATGGTAACAACTAGTAAGGCTGATGTGACCAACTATGTCGTTTTGGTAACAACTAGTAAGGCTGATATGACCAACAATGTCGCTATGGTAACAACTAGCAAGGCTGATATGACCAACTAAGTCGTAATGGTAACAACTAGTAAGGATGTTGTGACCAACTATGTCGTGATAGTAACAACTAGTAAGGATGTTGTGACCAACTATGTCGTAATGGTAACAACTAGTAAGGATGTTGTGACCAACTATGTCGTAATGGTAACAATTAGTAAGAATGTTGTGACCAACTAAGTCGTAATAGTAACAACTAGTAAGGATTTTGTGACCAACTAAGTCGTAATAGTAACAACAAGTAAGGATGTTGTGACCAACTAAGTCGTAATCGTAACAACTAGTAAGGATGTTG